AAACTCCGTCTCAAAAAAAATAAAAATAAAAATAAAGTCTGATTTTGTGAAATGGAAAAAAAAATTTTTTTTTGGCATAATTTGGGCTTTTGCTAAAAATATAAATCACTCATAACATAGGTTAAATCCTAAATGCATTTAATTTTACAGGAGAAGTTGCAAAAAGCATTTAATTATCTCAGTAGAGGTTAAAAATATATTTTATGTTGGCAACATTTTTCATAATTAGTAGTGTACTGGTAAAGAATGTAAACTGTCATTAGACTATTTGAATTTGAATTTTGTCTCTCATTTTTTGTTTGACCTTGGATAACTTACTTTCTTTTTTTTTTTTATTATTTTTTATTTATTTTTTTATTTTTTGAGACGGAGTTTCGCTCTTGTTACCCAGGCTGGAGTGCAATGGCACGATCTCGGCTCACCGCAACCTCCGCCTCCTGGGTTCAGGCAATTCTCCTGCCTCAGCCTCCTGAGTAGCTGGGATTACAGGCACGCGCCACCATGCCCAGCTGAATTTTTGTATTTTTAATAGAGACGGGGTTTCACCATGTTGACCTGGATGGTCTCGATCTCTTGACCTCGTGATCCACCCGCCTCGGCCTCCCAAAGTGCTGGGATTACAGGCTTGAGCCACCGCGCCCGGCCGGATAACTTACTTTCTGTGTTTCAGTGTCTTCATCTGTAAAATAGAACTAATTACACATCCCTACCTTTTAAGGTATTATGGGCACTAGATATCTCAAGTGTTTAAAATAGTGCTGATAAATAATAAGCCTATTAAAATGTTAACTATTCTTATTAATGTAGTGGTAACATTTTAATAGAAGCAATGGCTTAGAACATCTCTTTATTTATAAGATAGAGAATATATTTTAAAACAAAATATTGTGTTTATTTGGATAGAATTCTACTTGAAAAGAGAAATGAATATCCTTCTTATCACCACAATTTATCAAATAGTAAAACTACCATAAATAATAATTTGAGAAGAAATCCCAATGAGAATAAATATAGGGAAAAATACAATATGAATTTTTAAATACAATGTAAAAATTGTTATAGCATAACAAGAAGTAAAAATACAAAGAGGTGAAAATATAATTGGCTTATTACATGAAAACATTTTATCCTCAAACGTCCATGCTATAATATATGACTAAGAAGAGCTGAAAAATGCAAAGTAGAAAATGCATTTTCATATAGCTAAAAATGTATTAAATAGCTGACAGTTAATATAACCTGAAAAAAGACTTTATTTTTAAAGAAAAAAATATATCCCTAGAGGATAAATTGATATGCAAAAAGTAAAGTGATAAAATTCCTATTAACACAGATTAAAATTACTTCTTAAGTTAATTAGAATATTTAATGCAATGTAAAAGTAACAAGAGATCTTTAGATCTTATTAAATTAGTACTACATTTAATCTAGAAAATAAAATATGAAAACATAACAAAGGATATGTAAATATCTGAAAAAGCAATAATGATGTTGCTGCCTTCTCAAAATTCATACTTTACTAACAATGAGTGATTATAATAAAAATATATCACATTAGGTGATATATTAAATCAGAAAACCTGATCAATTAAATAGAACACAAATGCCACCAATACATTTATCTAATAATGTATTATATCACTATTAACATTACACATTATCCTTAAAATAGATTGTGGCAATTTATACTCCCCCCAAATTATATAAAATTGTTTTTCTCCACAGCTTCCATGATACTTAATGTTAAACCATTTTAGACTAGCAAGCCAACAAGTGAAAATGGTACTTAATATCTGTTTTAAAAATTGTATTCATTTGATTGCCATTGAGGTTGAAACTTTACAATATATTTATTGGTCACTTAAATATTTTTTAAAATATTTTCTACTATTTTTTAAAATTTTGTGGGTATGTATTAGGTGTGTATATTTATGGGGTACATGAGATATTTTGATACAGACATGTGATGTGAAATAAGCACATCATAAAGAATGGGGTATTCATCCCCTAAAGCACTTATCCTTGAAGTTACAAACAATCCAAATACACTCCTTAAGTTATTTAAAAACCCACAATTAAGTTATTGACTACAGTCACCCGACTCTGCTATCAAATATTAAGGCTTCTTTAGTGAAATACTTGTTACAATCATTTGTTCATTATTTATTAAACATTTATTTACTTCATTGATTTGCATAACCATTTTAAAATATAAATTGCAAATATATCTCCTCAGTTTATCACTTCCTTATTAGTTTTGATCAGTTTTTGTAAAATATTTCAAATATCTAGAAATAAATGGAAAGTAGGATAATGAACACCCACATACCATGTTGTGGTTAACTCGAATGAATTTTTTTTGAAAAAATATTATAGATTCAGTTGAACCCTAAAATGAGGTATCCTTCCTATTTTTGTACTCCATTCTGTGTGTTTATATATATATACACATACACATATAAACATACACACACACACATATATATATATATATATATATAATGATACTTATGTAATATATATTATGGTTATAATATATATAACCATAAAATGTGGCATCCTTCCTGTTTTTGTTCTCTATTCTGTGTGTGTATATATATATATATATATACACACACAATCATACACACACATATATATTATGTATATGTATATAATATATATCATATACAACATTATTATGTACATATTATATATTATGTAATATATATATATAATATGTATTCTGGGTTTTATACTTAAATTTCTTAAAATTTATGTTATCATGGCTCATTGTGTCATTCTGCACCTTGCTCTTGTTTCATTTTTGCTTAATGTTTTACTTTTGAGATTTATCTGTGTAGAAGCATGTAGACATTCACCTATTTTGACTGTTGTATTTCATTGTGTGATTATACTATTTATTTCCAATTAATAAAAATTGTTTCCAGTTTTGCTCTACTAAAAACAACACTGCCACGAACATTCTTAGACTTCATGAGTTTATCACGAGGGTATATTCTGAGTGGTAGAAATGCTGAGACAAAGGGCTTGGGCATCTTTTACTTTCCTAGTTGTCCAAAGAGCTGCACAAAGTGTTCAGATTAATTTATATGTCTATTGAAAATATATGGAGTTTTAAAAGCCAATTTTTAATACTATTAAAAGTTTTGCTTATCTGATGAATTTAAAATAGTGTGCAATTGCTTTAATTTGCAATTCCTTATTTAGAGTGGCTTTTGATCTTTTTTTCTTATTTACTTGTAGAAGTTTTTTGCCCAGTAATTTCTTTATACAAATCCTTTGATGGTTAAACTTGCTGAAAACATGTTCTTTCTATGTATAACTTGACTTTTCAGAAGAATCTTTGGATTTAAAGAAGGTTACATTTTAACATAGTTATTGCTATAATTGTTTTTATCATTTATATTTTTGTTCATCTTTAGGTCTTTCCTTTCATCACAGTCATAAAGATATTCTCCTATATAGTTTAAAGTTTTGAAAGTTTTTGTTCGGTGGCTCACGCCTGTAATCCCAGCACTTTGGGAGGCCGAGGCGGGTGGATCACGAGGTCAAGAGATCGAGACCATCCTAGTCAACATGGTGAAACCCCGTCTCTACTAAAAATACAAAAAATTAGCTGGGCATGGTGGCGCATGCCTGTAATCCCAGCTACTCAGGAGGCTGAGGCAGGAGAATTGCCTGAACCC